GGGTCACCGAAGACTTGCCATGTTCTCACACTAATCTTCCCTTGCCATCATCCCACGTCAGATGGCAGACTGTGCTTAGGGGCTTTTCCTGGGAGTTTATAAATAAGTCTGAGCTCATTGCTGATCCCAGAATGACTTATGTGGCAACTTGCCCTCAGCTTGCTCAGTTAGTAGGACTGCACCCCATGAAGTCAACAAAGATCTACCAGAACAACAACCAGCACCTGTGTGGCCACACAAATACCACACATTTAAGATCATCTCTCAAACCTTAACCCTAGTCTTTATAGAAACATCTCATTCTAATCATGCTGCGGAGTTATGAATTGGCCATTCTAATGAGAAATGATTTTCTATTTTTAAAAATAAAAAATGATTTTTTATTTTTTCTTGTAAGTCATTTCATTCAAGTAAATGCTTAGAATCACTAAGTGCATCATAAATTGTAGGGTACTTGTCTTCAAGCAATTGGCACACTTACCAGTATATCACTTGTGAGATCTTTGGTAACAAATTCCTCAAAATGGTATTTGAGATTTTTCAGTTATTTAAAAGTTCACATTAAAATCATTTTAAGTTTCATACTGAATGCAGAACAATGATCCATGACTCCCTTTTACAAAGCCTGACTTCATATCTGGTAAAACAAATCAATGAGCCTCAAAGAATAGAGAATACAGATACAATTTTGTTACAGACTGAAACCTTAGAAAAGCAAGTCACCTGCAAAATGGACAGTCAACAAGTTGCATATATTGTGACACATGTATGCGTGGATGCTTCAATGTGGTGCAAAAGACTTGCCTTTCAAGGGAGGAATCAGTAAGATAATTAAATTCTCCAGCTTGGTAGAAGCAAAATAACTGAATGGTTAGGAGAAAAAGTAGGTGGTTTAGAATCGAGATTACTGGTTCTCTCACTTTTTAGCTGTGTCATAACTGTGAGGATGTCCTGTGTGAATTTGGGCATTTTACATAAATCCTCTGAGTCTGCATCTCTTCATCAGTAAAGTAGAAATACTTCAGAGATTTGTCAATTCAGGTTAAATTACACACTGTATGCAAAACAGTCAGCACAATGCTAAGTATTGCCATTCATAAATAACAAAGATCCTGATAGGCATTTTTTTAGTTTTCAAATCAGAATAATTTCTTGAAAGGACTACAAAATTGGGAAAGATTCAAGGTTACTTAGGTTAATAACCAAAAAATGTAAAGTTAAGAGTGTGTAGATACCTGAACTCAGACACAGCCAGACAATTCATATCTATTAGTGTCAAATTAGGAAACACCATCCAGTTCAGACTGGGCCAAATCTGAGAAGATGGAAAACAACATGGAAGAAATCAGAATTTTGTGAATCATGTGCATCCAATGTCAAAAGACAAAATGTCTACAGAACAGAGAGACTTTTGTTTTTAAAAACCTTAAAAAGCAGAAATGTATCAGCTATATTTTGATAGTGTCAGAAAGTGAGGGAATCAAGAAAACAGGGAAAGAGAACTCAGTGCTAAATGGAGTATGAGTAGATGTACCCAAGGAAAAACATCTTAACCTAACCATCCCATGGCTATTGTCACCATTTATGAAAATAATCTTTTTCCAATTGAGCAGAGGAAGTCACAATTACCTTACCTCATAAAGCTACTTCCTGTCTTCTCGATGTTTATGACAATGTCTTAGATTTATATAACTCCTTTCTGTGGTGTGTTTTCACGTACGTTTCAGTGTCATTTACCACTCACAATATTACTATGTTATATGCAGAGCAAGCAGTTTGAAGGCCTTTTTTTTTTTTATATTTTTAAAGATTTATTTATTTATTTATGCATACAATTGCTGGGGTACAGGCCAGAGATGCGGGGGTGAGAGGATTTACCAGAGGCAGAGTGGGGAACAGAACAGGCAGATTGACCAAAATACACTGCTGAGGGGAGTAGCAGGCAAGACAGGAGAGGTCTGCCTTGCCATGTGTGTTGCTCCCTGGTCAGCCGGGGATCAAACTCATGCTGCAGAGGCTGCGGATTGCTTCATAGCATGGTGCTTAACCCCTTGCGCTATCAGCGACACCCTGAAGGCTGTTTTTGATTTTTTGTTATAATTCTGATGCAGGAGGAGTGTGAGACTCAGAAAAGGTAGGTTACTTGCCCAGAAGTCCATAGTTGTTCAGTGGACACATGGTGGGAAAAGTTATCCCAGTGAACTTCCCTCCATATTGGTACTTCTTTAACAGCAGCATATGTGTGAGTCACTGGGGATCTGTTACAAGGCAGGTTCTAAATTCAGTATGTCTCAGGGGAACTAGCATGTTGTCTGTCTAACAAGCTCCCAGGAGTTGCTGCTATAGGAATCCTAAGAACATCCTTTACTATACCCCCAACTGCAATCACACCATTGGGGGACTATTCATTTCCCCCACTAACCTATGAACTCATGAGTGCAGGAACCGAGCTTCATTCAATACTTTGACCTCGCTGCCCACCACCATATTGGGCAAAATGAAGCTGAATCTTTTCCAAGAGTTAAGTAAAAGTGAGCTTTTAAATTAAAGTCATAACACTGGAACATTAAGACCCTGGTTATTTATTGAAAAAAGGATTTTTATCATGTATCCTTTGCTGCCTTGAGTCACACTATGATATCTAGTTTTAATTGTCAAGTCCCAAAATTCATAACCAGAGGTAAGGCAGCAGGGTTAACCAGTTTAGTCTTATGTGTAAAACTATGCCTAGGTTCTTATAGAATATGATCACATCTCTGGGCCAATGGGATGGGTTAATGGAGGTTCTTCTAAGTGCAAGAAGGAAGGCTAGAACAGGCCAGATGTAAAACAGACTTGCTCACATTCAACTTGAAGGGAGTCACATCCCATTTGCTCCCACCTGAGGGTGCTGATCGCAGCAATTCACCAAGGATTATAGGTTTTCTATATGCTAGACATTGTGCCTAGCATTTTGTACCAGTCATCTTATTTCATCCCTTCTACAAATGGTAGCAGTATTTATTTTGTAATTAAGAAAGCAGAGGCATAATAAGAGTGTAAGAGGTGAAGCCAAGATTCGATCCCCAGTAGCCTGTCTTCAGAGTTGATGCTTCTAACCACATTGTCGACTGCCTGGAAGCATACAGGGAGAAGAAACAATTATCCAAAGAGATGAGTGACTTTACCCCCTGTCAATAACCTGATAATAAAGTCCAACAAATCCCAAATAGAAGGGATTAGGGAGAAATACATCACATCAACAAGAAGTGGCTTTTATATTCAAAAGGAAGGGTCTGACAATATAGTATAGAATAAAATAGGATTTTCTATTACAGCACATACTCAGTTTGACTCTATTTGGTTTATGGTTAAATATACAACACTACTGAAAGGTTAAATAATGGCTAGCTAAATAGTAAGTCTCAAAGGTTTCAGATTCCTTTCACACTTCATTAGGTCTCTTATGAAACTTTGTATTAATGATTGCGCCAAATCTGAGAAGATGGAAAACAACATGGAAGAAATCAGAATTTTGTGAATCATGTACATCCAATGTCAAAACTCAAAATGTCTAGAGGACAGAGAGACTTTTGTTTTTAAAAACTTTAAAAAGCAGAAATGTATCAGCTATATTTTGATAGTGTCAGAAAGTGAGGGAATCAAGAAAACAGGGAAAGAGAACTCAGTGCCAAATGGGGTATGAGTAAAGGGTAGACATGATCTCTCTTGTTCTCAAAACATCTGAAACATGTAGTAAGAAAATTAAATGGGGCAATATTAAAATACAGCTTTAGGGTCTTAGATAAAGCATTTTGTGAAAAAAGGTTAAGCTTTAAAGGTCATTTTTAACCACAGGACATATTATTATTTACCTTTGAAGGCAACATGATACTATGGATTATGAAGTCCCAAGACCTGGTTGTGCCATTTCTTAGTTATGGCCTCAAGTTAGCCTAATTCCTCTGAGATTCAGTCTGTCCAGCTGTACAATGTGGAAAATAAACACTTAATGCCTAGGATCATGAGGAGCCATACAGTAAATGGCATCCCGTGAGCACTTAGTCCCAAACAGAAAATCAACACAGGTTATATACTGTGTTCTCTCCTATCTTCTAAGTTCTGTTTTCCTAAAAGAATCTCCTTTAAGTATTTCTGTTCCTAAGCCTGAGTTATTGTTGGCAGAAACATAGCATTGTCCAAGATGAAGAAAAACAATCTGAAAGGATAATGCTAAGCGAAATAAGTGAGAAGGAGAAAGACAAATAAGGATGGTCTCAATTATATGTGGAATACAGAAAAATAAAACGAAGGGTCAGTCAAAACCAAGCCAATAATAAATTCTTAACATCTGAGTGTAAAACTGAGGCACCCAGAGGAAGAGGGTGGTAGAGAGGGAGCGGGGGTAAGGGAAGGGGTCCAGTGGGACATGGTGGAGGATGGTTGGGGCACAGGTGAAGGGTAGGGTGTGAAAGTTTGCATTTGTAGAAGTTTGAATCTATAATCCCCAGAGCAGATAGAAGATCTAAACTACTTACCTCAATAAACATAATTTGGGGAAAAAAGAAAGAAAAACAATCCTACACACAAATAAAATGTGTATAAAGAAAATGAACTCTTAGTATATCATATGGAAAAAATATTGTATATTAAACTTGATGTGTTAACAATAGAACCATGCAAATTTAACATAGCAATCAAGCCCTAAAAAATCAACTTCACTCATAATTTCATTCACAAATCTTATACAGTCTATTAAATAGCAACCATATTAAAAATCAAGAAGCTTTATGATTTAGTAGTGTAGATTTTAGAAAAAAATCCCTCTTCAATTTATGTGACTGTTTTATAAGCCATAAAAATACTAAACACTATACAATGTTGTTTTTATTGCAATCACCTGCTGACTTTTGGAATAAATTGGAGGCATTAGTCAGATTAAAATGACTCAACATATCAAACTACAAATTTTTATTCACCAGAATTCAATTTGAAATTTACATGTAAAGGAAGTCAGCTTTCTAAGAAGTTATAACAACATACATAATAGACATTATGTCAACAAAGATAACAAACAATATTTTGAGAAGTCTTCCCACAATTTCATCTTCTAGGCTTGTGGGGTTAGGAGTAGAAATTAATATCCAGTTCTTACATGCCATATCAAAAATTCTCTTGTTTCCTGGAAAAAAAGAAAAGTATCCTCAAATGGATGCATTTATAATTCTCATTATTTAACTGAGTCTAATATTTCCAATGTTAAGAAATCATGTTGAAATTTTTTTTTTAAGATTGATTGATTGATCGATTGATTGATTTATGCAAGAACCAGGGTACAGGCCAGATTCGCGGGAGGGTGAGAGGATTCACCAGAGACAGAGCGGGGAACAGACACAGGCAGACTGATGAAATACACTGCTGAGGGGAGCAGCGGGCACGACAGGAGAGGTCTGCCGCACCATGTGGGACCCTCGCCAGCCGGCTGGGATCTAACCGGCGCTGCAGAGGCTATGAAAAGCTTCACAGCAAGGCGCTCAACTGCCTGCGCCACCAGGGGAGGTCCCATGTTGAAATCTTTCAGGGAGGATTCTGCACATATTTCTAAGCAACCAATGAACTAAATAATTTTTCTCCTAAATGGTTTAAAATCATTTTTTCCACTTGCTTTGAACCACTTTATGTCATAATCATAGATTTTTCTCTATGTCAAATTTGCCTTTCTTTCTAGAATAAACACAATAAGAAACTATCAGAAAGACAACTCTTTTTAACATTATCAATAATTAGTTCATTTATGGTATCTTATCTGCAGAGTCATTTACAGTCATTTTTATTAGGATCAGCAAAACTGCCATTTTTCCAACCTGAATAGTCAGTGTTACCAAAAAATGAGAATTTGAAGATAATGGAAAAGAGAGGTGATTTTTTTAAATTAAACAACGAAAGATCTTTTCTATTTACTTGGTCTTGCCTCAAGATCCTCTCTCTCATGTTTTGCTCAGTTAGTTAAGATATCAAATGTTTAATTTCATCCACAGTTCTTTGTTAATCATAGGTTTTTTTTTAAAAAAAAGCATATTGAATATTAAAAGGTATTATTTTGTGGTCTCTTCTTACCTTCTTGGAACAAAGTACTTAAAGTCTGTCAGGAAGTTTAGATATATTCTTAACTCCTTTTTCAGGAATGCAATGTCAAATAAGTCAAGTAATTTTCAAAACCTTGCAACAAAGTTTCTTACTTAAACTCAATTTGAAATGAGCATCAATAGTGTTAAAAAAAAAAAACCAGAAAGTGAGTCAGCAAGGTGGACCGGGGTCTAGAAGGTTCCAGTCTGTGGTGTAATTGTGCTGAGATGCTGGGGGAACTGATTTTTGTTTATGGCACCACTGATACCCCTCCTGCCTGATGTTCCCTATCTGACACTCAGCTGTCTGTGCACTGTCAGTGAACCTCACTGAGGTCAGTACCAGTTTTGAGGGATGAGGAAGTAGCTGTGCAATTTGGAGTGCCTTTGCTGTTGTTGTTGTTTTCCTGCCTTACTGGAGACCCTGTAGGAAAACATTTTTCTGCTAATTTCACTCAAAAACCAGAATGGGCAAGTTGAGTTTTAAGGTAGAAGGAGAAATAGATGGAGGTCTATAGATGGCATACACATGAATGCAAACTTCTCTCTCTTTTAGCAGTCTTGACTAATTTTTGTAATAACTTGTCCCATTCCTAGAGGAAGGAACTTGCCTCAAATTACACAGCAATCACTTGCCAAGTAAACATCTAACATTTCCCCTACATTCAATTTTTTTTTTTTTTGCTTGTATTTTAGGAAAAAAGGGTGGGTATGAAGCATGGGTTTTTGCAAAATGATTTTCCTTTCTTCCTAGAGCCTCAGCCTCCTACTCCTATTTCTTGAGTCTGTGCTCTGAATTCTCACCAACAACAGTAAGAGAGAGACTAAATAGGAAATAAGGGAAAGGTCAGACAACTGGGAGGCACTGAAGAGTAAATAGAAACCCATTTCTCACCTGACTTAATCCCAGGTGCTGGTAGGTAATGTAGCTCCTTGGTTTTCTCTCCAGTTGCTCTACAACAAAGCGCTTTCACTTCAACAAACTTGGCTCCTGTGTCAAAGGACATTAGAAGGTTTTATTGGACAGTGAGGCAGTATATGAAGTGGAGGGCAAGCAGCCTGAAGGAAAAACTCTAAAATCACCCCAAAGATGTCAAGGAAATGTTGAAGAGTGGACTTTGGAAAATATCACACTTTAATTTCAATAAATCACAGAATTGTACAGTTAAAAACTAAGCTTTTATCAGAAAGGTTATTAGGCTGGATTGCAGGATTTTCCTAATGCAGCCTATATTCACCATTATTTTAAAACAACAATTTGCAGAGGATTAGGGGTAAGGGAGAAATAATGTTTAAAGGTACATACTTGCAACTAATAAATGAAACGGGCTTGGAGATCTAATACACAATGTAGTGATTATAGACAACAAAGCTATATTATAAACATTAAACTTCCATAGAGATTAGATTTTAGTTGTTTCCAACACCAGAAGAAATAATAATTATGTGACACGAGAGAGGTATTAGTTAATGCTACTGTGGAGATCATGCTGCAATATAAAAACATCAAATCAATACCTTGTACCCCTTAAACTTACACAAAGTTGTATGTTAAATATACCTCAATAAAAATTGCCAAAAAATTATTTAAATTTAGGGGCCTCCCTGGTGGTGCAGGGGTTAAAGACAGAGCTATCGAGCTATTGCCAGCTACTGCAGCACGAGTTTGATACCCAGCCGGCCAGAAGCAACCCACATTGCATAGTAGGCCTCTTCTGTCTTGCCCACTGCTCTCATTAGCAGTGTATTTCAGTAGATCTGCCTGTTCTACTCCCTCTTCTCTCTGGTGAATCCGCTCACCTCCCACACCTCTGGCTTACACCCCAGTTCTTGTATACATAAATAAATCTTTAAAAAATATTATTTAAATTTATTTGCTTCAATATTTTTCATGACACAAACATACAACTTCTCTGTCTATATAAGAGATAACTCATGCTGTATATCTGCTGTTAGTTCTACAACTTTTAAGATTCTTGTCTCACTTTTAGAAATTAGAAAATGGAGGCGAGAACTTATTATAAAGATCAGGCTATAAAATACATCCATAAATGGAAGACTAGTTAATAAAATTATGGCTATTACAGGGTCTCCCTGGTGGCCTAGGGGTTAAGTCTCAGTGCTATCACCGCTGAGTTCAATCCCCAGCCAGAGAACTAACCCACATATGGCGCAGAGACCTCTCCTGTCTCTCCCGCAGCTCCCCTCAGCAGTGTGTTTCAACTGATCTGCCTGTTCAGCTCCCCACTCTGGTGACTCCTGTAGCCCCCTGCACCTCTGGGCTACACCCCAGTTCTTTTATGCAAAAATACAAAATAAAAATAATAGTTATTACAATTTTGAAATAGCAGAAATACTACTTAGAAATCATATTAAGATATTGAAATATAGAGATGTCAGCAAATTGACAATAGAGGAGTTTCCTTATCTAACTCCCAAGAGGAACATCTAACAGTTAACCAGGGCAACACTACACCAAGAGAGTCCAGCAGCTTTTGGTGAGACTGAAACACCCCTACAATATCAGGGGCCAACATGCTATGCTAGAGGAGAAACAGAGGAGGTTCCTCATCATTAAAGTGGAGAGAAATGCCTGGAGGCTGTGTCCTAGGACTGGAGACATCCACATAATCAGAGAAGGAGGGGATATTGGAAACAATGTGGAGGCATGTACCCTTGAAGGAGGGGAAACCCATTCAGAGGAGCTAAAGTGTTAGACTGCACTGTCCCTCCCTATCCCTGGAGATGGGCACTTATCTCCAGAAAGCACTGGGAATCAATTTATTATTTTATAAACTGTTGTACTGAAAATAGAATGAATATTATCTAATTCTTAAAACTGTCCTCATTTTTTTCCTTTTAACTCTATCAAGAATCTAAATAGGGCCTCCCTGGTGGCGCAAGGGTTAAGCATCGCACTGTGAAACAATCCATAGCCTCTGCAGCACCAGTTCCATCCCTGGCCGGCCAGGAAGCATCCCACATGGTGCAGCAGACCTCTCCTGTCTGGCCCGGGGCTCCTCTCAGCAGTGTATTTCGGTCAGTCTGCCTGTTCTGTTCCTCACTCTGTCTCTGGTGAATCCTCTCACCCCCATATCCCCTGCATCTCTGGCCTGTACTCCAGCTCTTGTATGCATAAATAAATAAATCTTTAAAAAAAAAATCTAAATAATCTAATTCAAATTGACTTGCCTGTTTATCAGATGTTTGGGTAGTGGCATCCCAAAAATAAATTAGACAAACAAAACAGAGAGGTAACTTTTGATATCTGGGAGTTAAACTTCATTGCATTCTTTGTTCTTTGCCCCACTCTTAGTTCATAGACTCTTACTTTTAAAACCTTTGCAATCTTGTTTTTTCTATACAACAGGGATACTCAAATCAACTCTCACTCCTGAGACTATAAGAAGAGTTCACAAGCAAAGTGGCTTGCTCCCTGAGCAAAAACAAAACAAAACAAAACAAAACAAAACAAAACCACCAAAAACCTATTTTATAAAATTATCATGAGCACTAAGAGTTCACCTTTTTCTCAATTTCTCTCGACCTCTGTTTCCTCTTATTAAGCACGAATTTTTGGTCAAGACAAAGAACAGAACATACTTTGCAAAGTCTCTTTTTCAATCAAAATAAAAATAATTTTTATTGGATTCAAGTTTATAGTCTTTAACACATGAGTCACATTTTAAAAATATTTTCTTTTTCGACAAGAATTTGCTAATCCTCCTCTCTGTTTCCATCAAAAACTAATGATGAAGATAATGTTGATACAAGTTCCTAAAAGACACATGTTGAAAACTGAGACATCATTGAATTCTATCCATTTCTTTTTTTATTGATTGTCCAGTATATGCCAGGCTGTGATAATGCATTTTCAGGAGCTGGAGCAACTGCCCAAGGCTGCTCAGTATTCTATGCTGGAGCCTAGACACTATTCAGTAGGACTCCAGAAGCCAACCTCTTTCAACTACATGCATTTATTGATGTTTTCAAAACACAAGTTACTTTTGAAAAGATCTGTATTACAAAGGAAGTCAGCTATCTGCAAATGGAAATATCCCCATGTAATTAATAATAGCCATTCTTCCTCTTTGGTTCTGGTGCCACTCTGTATATGTGAACGACTGCTTGGACAAGGAGTAGATGGTCTCGCAGTTACTCTGCTGGACCGGATAACCTTGAATTTGGAGGAATATCTTTACAATAGCTTTGTTGTTAATTTATGCACAAAAAAGCAATCTGCACATATAGCCACTAGAATCTCAGGATCTAGCAACCAAGTTGGCTGGAAATACAGATTTTTTTTTTTTTTTTGCTGTTTTTATTAGCTTTTACTGCTTGAAATTTTATTCTTATATATTTTTGTTACCCAACCACTGCTCAATTTATGACAAATTTATGATCAGTTTATGACCTCCTTAACATTAGCTGGACAGAAAATAAAGAGATTGCTTCCGGGACATGGTAGTTGAGAGATGGGTCTGGAATCAGACTGATGGGGTTTGACTCAGGTAGATCACATCCCACAAGACTTTAGAAAAGTTACATTAACTCCTGGTGCCTAAATTACCACTTTTATAAAATTAGGATGATAATAATAATATCTGCTTCTTAGGGTAATATGAGAATTAAATGAGTTAATACTTGTGTCTAGCAAGTACATGCTTAATAAGCACAGTGATTATTATTGTTAATTATGGTCTCAGTGATCCTCCTTGGATGGATCACACTTCTGGGATTCTTTTTTAAGTACCTAAATATGTAAAATTGTCAAACTCTTATTCATCCTTTGACTCAAAATCTTTTCCTCTGTTAATCATCCTAAGTTTCTCAGGCAGAATGTATTGCTCATTTGTCTGTAATGTATTGCAGTTCTGTATTATGTTTCTTTGTTGCTTGTATATGCAGTTGCTGTCTTCCTAAAAAAGAGGGGATGACCTCATGAATTCTGAATCTTATGAATCCTGCCCTACTCTGTCTGATGCTAATTAATTTTCATCAAATACTGGTTGAATAACAAGTAAAGTAGAAGATTTTGCAGAAGAGTAGAAGTTCACTGTGTTCAAATGACAATTATAATATAAGCAGACTTAAATATTAGTCATCAATTATTTTAAAAATAAACTCCCAAAGTGGGGTGCTTTTAATTTGTCTGCAGAAGGACTATGTTTTATTGCCATAAATTTAATGTTTAATATTATCCTTTAGAATTGAGAAATCATATGAGAATTATATCTTATTAATGTTTTTGCTTTTGTTTTTGTTATAATTAGAGAACCAAGTCAAGTTGTTGGAAGGTCACAAAATTTTGGCACAACCCTGCCAGGTTTTAGGATAGAGGGTTTAGGGTTGAGATGACGACCATTTCTACAGCATAATGGAGATTTTTCCCATTAAAAATCCAAAAATGGGGCCCTCCTTGGTGGTGCAAGAGGTTAAGCACAGTACTATGAGGCAAACCGCAGCCTCTGCAGCATGAGTTCAATCCCCGGCCAGCCAGGGAGATTCTCACATAGCGCGGCAGACCTCTCCTGTCTTACCCGTTGCTCCCCTTAGCAGTGTATTTCAGTCAGTCTGCCTGTTCTGTTCCCCACTCTGTCTCTGGTGGGTCCTCTCACACCAATCCCCCACGTCTCTGGCCTGTACCACAGCTCTTGTATGCATAAATAAATAAATCTTTAAAAAAAAAAATTCAGAAATGGATGCTGGGTAGATAGGGCAGGAAAAATAAACTCCTTAAATTTGAGTCATCCTAAAGTTAGTTGAGACCTCAGCCACACTGATGGTAAATAGATTTTGTACGTTCTATAAGTTTTTAAAATTTGGGTTCAACTTGTGTTTTCTGAACTAATGAAGGCCTCATTAGATTCTGAAATATAAAGTTGAATTATGTGAGAAGGGGAATTTAACA